TGTCCCAACGGCTTGGTCTTGCGCGCCAGCGGCTCGCGGGGTTGCCCCGACAGCCTGGCCCGCGGGGTTGTCCCAACGGCTGCGCGACGTGACCTGTAGAGAACGCGCCTGTGCTGGCCGTGGCGGCGACGGCGCCGAGGAACATCGACATGCGCGCTCATGCAACAGGAAGGGGAGGAGGTGGCGGGGCGCGGAACAAACAGGGGGGCGAGGATGGGGACAACGTAAGGAGTGGAAGGGGGGCCCGCGCCAAGGCGAGAGGAAATATACGCAGAAGAGACAGCCAGGACGCCTCACCAACCACGAGGACGACGGTGATGGCTTTTTCCAGATTCGCCCAGAGGATTCTTATGTGGGGTTCTTCCGTCGGAGTAATTTACTTCTGGCTCGGGCCAGGGTTTAAGCAGCCGCTGTGCATGACAGCCGTTTGTGGCCACCACGCTGCCCGCTATCCCCCCTCGTCCTCTTTATCCTCCTCCTCCGCCTCCCTCTGCAGGGGCTTGCGGCCTGAGTTGGGGACACCTTCGCAGACCGACCTTATTACGTACAGTCAACCCGCATAGTAAGGATGATCGACTTCCCAAGGGGACCCTTGCAGCCTTCCCCTTCGGCCCATCCTTGGCCGCTTTCGCTGGCCGCGCCCCGCTCGAAGAGTGTCGGCATGGCCTTCCAAGGCCCTTGCATCCTTATCGTGCGTCCTTATTCTACGGAGCTGGCATGCTGTTCGTCGACTGTCATTTCCGCTCCACTCCTCCCTCCCCGATACAAAAGGAGAGGCGGGATCAGGATCACTGACCTCGAATCAGCATCGTTCAACCGATCCCTATCCCCATCACCATCCCTATCCAGACCCCCACCATCTCAAGCTCCCCTTTTGGGCATATGCCCCCCGAATCCCGAACGAAACAGCCTATATTATATCCCCATCTGCGCGGGTAAACCGGCCAGTGGGGCCCAGGCGACGCCCATACAGGGTCCGGCTTGAATAAGGAACACTCACTTTTCAAAAGGGGCTCGGTCGTTCCTTGGGTCTGCATGCGTTCCGCTAAACTTTTGGCGGCGGGCCCCGCTGGTGTTCCTTCGGGCTTCGTAGACCTACTTGGACAAAACCGGGCTTCGTTCTTTTTTTATCGTTCCTTAGGTGAGGCCCATTGGGATGGGGTCCAGGCCACGCCCATGGGGATGGGGTTACGTCGGGCCTGTCCCTCTACAAGAGGAATTTGCAAACATAATCAAATAATAGTCAGGGGACATTTTTTGCCAATTTTTGAGTAGGTTTTGAGTGTGTTTGGGGTATTGTTTTTTCTTGTCGAAAATCCAACCTGCAGGGGGACAGGCCCGACTTGAGGATGGGGGCCGGTGAAGCGATGCTCATCGAGGGGGGGCCTCCCTCGCCAGAGTCGGCAGGCGGAGCGGGAAAAGGCCCAGCCCAGAGGAAGGCAAGTGCTTGTCGAGAGGTAAAAAACACACAGACACACTGAATCGACGATTCCCCCAGAAAATGTGGAAACAGATGGGCAGTGGGGGGGGGGAAGACAGAAGCCCATACAATATGCGAAAGCATGGGGCATCCTGTTGTTTGTGTCTATTCATTTGTGTGTCCCTGGGCCCCTTCAGTTTAGTGGGGTCCAGCTCAAGGGAGGAGTGTGCTCACGGGGCTGCGCCGAAGGCGATTGTCCCCGGCCCGAACGCCGCCAGGGGGGGAGGAGGAGGAGGAGGAGAAGGAGGAGGAGGAGGAGGAGGAGGAGGAGGAGGTGCTGGATTGTATTACTTAGGTTTGAACCCTGATGGAAGGCACAGGGCCCGGCTCCTTCGCCGTGCAAGTCTGTACTTACATGGGCTTCCCCGTTGACGGACGACGGCCCTCCCACAAGCGCGTCAGCCGTTACCATTGGCCGTCCGAGCTCTGGCAGGCCTGCAGCCCTCCTTCACAAGGTTCGTCCACCTACACTGCGCGTAGGAAGAGCAACGCCTGCAAAATGCACACGTGGATCGCGACGCGAGCTGGTGTCCCAGCCCTCCTGCCTTGGTGATGCGGGCCTGGCGAGCATCGAATCCAACAGACTCTGCGCCCGACGGCCCGCTCGGAGTCCGAGGAGGGGCCTGGTTCTCTCGACGTTTCCTGGGGCTCACACACGTGGGAAGGGGTTAACTCGGGCCTGTCCCTCTACAGGAGGACTGCTCCCGAAGAGTAGAAAAATAGTTGGGGGACTATGTTTGGGCATTTTTTCTTGTATTTTTGGACCATGTTTCAGTCTTCCTCCAAAGTCCGCCTGTAGGGGGACATGCCCGACCTAAGGGAGGGGGAGGCATCAGAGGAGGAGCAGGGCCCGGCTCGGCGGCCGCGCTCGGGGCTGTTCCTTTGGTGCTTCTCGGTTCGACGTCGGCGACGGTTTTCGACGACCTCGGACGACACAGCTCCCAGCCTGACAGCAAACTCGAAAGCATCAGCTGCCACGTATTACTGCTGCTTATAGGCCCGACGCGGCCAGAATGGGCGCTCACACAACTTCGCTCCTTGCTTCGCGCATTCGTCCGCGAAGCGGTTGCCTTTGAACAATCTTTCGCCGATCTCGTGCCGCTGGGCGCGCGTGGCGTGGGCTTTCATCTTGACTACCTGGATGGTCCTGGGCTCCAGTCCTCCGAGCTCGCTGACCAGAAACCAAAACCCCCGCCAGAGATCGCCGTGGACCCTGGCTGGGGACGAGCACCACTCTTCACCCCCGGAAGTCCCGTCTACGACCACCTGACAGTCACGGTAAAGTTGTGAGGGGTGGCGCCGCACACCGCAGCACCTGCAGGATGGCATCGAGAGCTCTGCTGGGCAGATCCCCTTGCCGGAGCCGGGGCAGGGGGAGCGGACCGGAAGCGGACACCTCGAGACTTCTTCCGACGCACCAAGGGCGGCAAAGTTCCATCCTGCACGCCCGAGGGGAACAAATTGTCTACGCTTCGCGAATCCCCACCAGCTATTGTCGTCTTCTTCTGTTGTCTTCGTTCGCTCCCACCTCTCTCCCGCGTTGCCGCTGCGCGTCGCCTGTTAATTTTGTCACCTTGTGGCCTTCTTTTCCAGCGTCTAGCCGGCGGCAGTTGCGCTGTGTTTGCGGCTCTTGCTTGTTGTCCGACCCTTCTGACGCCGCGCGGGTGCCCGCCTGCGGTCGCGATCAAAAAAAGATCTTCGCCAGCCCACCCTAAAGCAGCCAGTCTAGGGAAGTGTACCGTCTATCCAGAGACGATGCCCAGAGGATGTGCCTTGATCAGGGAAGTGGGCAGCACACAGTGGAAGGGCCCCTCCTTGGAGCGCTCTTGGGACACTCTTGGGCGCTCTTGGGGCTGTCTTCGGGCTCTCTTGGGCCTCTCTTGCGCCTTGGGGTCCTCTTGGCGGTCCCGGGGGCCTCTTGGAGCGTCTCGGGGAGCCTCTTGGGGCTTCTTGGGGGCCTCTTGGGAGCCTCTTAGAGGCCTATTGGGGCCTCCTGGGCGCCTCTTGGGGCCCTCTTGAGGCGCTCTTGGGAGCTTTGGGAGCGCTCTTGAGGCCATCTTGGAGGCCACGGCTCGAAAAGAAACCCGGCGTCAATTACCCCCCCCGCCCACATGGCAAAAAGAGGCCAAAACCTGAGTGCAACCGATGATTGTGGCTTTCTCGCCCAGGCCGTTTTGGACGCTCTAACGACCCGCGCCCCCCCCGTTGCAGGCCCAGGCGTGGGGGGTGGGGTAGGGGGAGGGACAAGACCCCCTCCCCGCCCGCAAGCCGTCTCGCTCACTCCCACCCGCCCTCCCAACACATACGTAGCACCCGAGTTTGGCCCGAACTTCAGCATATTCAGCAGCCGTTTTTGGATGGGCAACTAGTGGGGGCCAATCCGCCGCCGCCGCCGCCGCCGCCGCCGCCGCCATTGCCCCCGCGCCGCCGCCGCCTCGCCGCCGCTCTGCCGCCGCCGCCGCGCCGCTGCCGCCGCCGCCAGCCGCCGCGCCCCCGCCGCCGCCGCCGCCGCCCCGCCATCCCCCGCTGCCAAACCGCCGCCGCCGGCCGCAGCCGCTTAGAAAAGCCACCGCCGCCGCCTCGCCGCCGCCGCGCCGCCGCAAGCAGCCGCCGCCGCCGCCAAGTGTACTCGGTTTTTTTTGACATGGATGGTGGGGGGGGGGGGGGCGCATCGGGTTGGCTGCGCATGTTCCAAATTTGGAGGCAGACTGTGCTCTGTATTGGTTTTTACAAGGGATGGTGGGGGGGGGGTCGCCATGGTCCCTGGTTGGCCCCCGGTCGCCTGGGGGAGGGGGTGTTTATTAATAGGGAGCAATGATTAAACTTCCACCGAAGGGGAATAGGGGGGTTGGACAAAGGGGGCTCTCGAAACCACTCGCGCCCCAAAGGGTTGGTGGGATTCGCCGTGCAAGAAAGATCCGTCCGTGAAAACCCTCTCCTGGGACAACTCCTGGGTGTTCGCCTTCCCGCCGAACCTCTCCAACGAGACTGGCAGAACAGCCAGGAGTTCGATGGGAGCCTCGGCGACCCCCCGGGCCCAGAGGAAGTCAACAAAAAACCCGGGTGTGGGGGCTCGCTCATCGCTGCTGCACATGCTTGTTGTACTGCCTGCCGCGCACACGCCCGCGCTGCTCATCACTGCGCGCGCGCGCTGCACCCGCACGTGCGGTGCAGGGCTGTTCCAGCAGCACTCTTGCACGCCTGGGACAGATGGGTTGTTGCCCGACCTGCCTTTCATTTTCTCTGCCCGACCTGCTCACCGCGCGCGTAGCATTCATACACTTGCACGCCTGGCACCGACGGGTTGTTGCCCGACCTGCCTTAGCATTTTCTCTGCTTTGGCCGCGCGCCTCCTGCGAACAGGGTCCCAGCACGCGTGCAGTGCTCGGCAGTGCGCTCCTCTGTCAGGGGGCCTGCGAGAGGCAGCATACGAATCGGTTCAAGGAAGACCTGCCTCGTCACACCGGCCTCGGGGCCCCACCGCGCAAGCCGGCCATTCCGAAGCCCAGAGTGTGTGGCCTCACGGGCGAGGGAACACAGACAATTGCAAGTCTATCCGAGACAGATCGTGCACCTCGGTCCCGTAGGTGACGGACGCAGGGCTCCGGGTGCCCCCGCCGAGGCGCGCCACCACGGCCACGAGCGCGCCTGCAGGTCCTCTCGCAAGGCCCCACCGCCTCGGCTGCCCGTGCGGCCTCGGATGCCCACGAGCGCCAGACCGCCACCGGGCGGTCGCGCGTCGCCATGTCCGCCGCCTCGTGCCCCGCCGTGGCCGCGCTCCACGAGGGGCCTCGCAGGGGCGAGCACGGCGGGGTCGGCGCCCTCCGCTAGCAGCGCCAGCGCGGCCGACCTCCCCTTGCTGCATCCTGGGGAAGCCGCCGCCACCGCCTGCCGCAGCCTGGTGATCGGCGTGTCGGGAGCGCCGAGCTGCCTCTCCGCGCTGCCGTGGGAGGCCGCGACGGCAGTCTTGCCGTCCGTGCCCCTCGAGGCCTGCAGCTTGAGCAGCGGCTCGAAGGCATGGGTGATCTCGTCGGTCAGCTTCCCGTGGATCGCCACCACGCCTGCGCCGCCGCCTCTGGGCGACGCTGCAAGGTCGTCGAAGTAGAGGCACGTGTCTGCTCTCGGTTTGGCGACGTAGAGGTCGTCGATCGCACCGATGAGGACGAGGGACAGGCACAGCGCCCCAAACACGGATCCTGCCACGATCCCTTGCGCCCCCCCTTCGGTGTAGCACCCGTTGCGGACTGCCCTTCTCATGCGAGAGAACGTTCGCAGGATGAACCCGAGCAACGGCTTTGGGAATCTCCAGGGTATGCCACCTTTCCAAGTCAGAGAATGCAACACCGTCTCGTAGCGCTTCCGCAGGTCGTAATACGTCGCGGCGATGGCCTCGCCCTGTGCCAAGGACTCCTCTGCCATGAGACCCTGCATCCAGGCCGCGCGTTCAGCGGACCTGCCCTTCACTGCCCAATCATAGGCACGTGGCTCCCTACGCTGCCACCTCTGGACCTCGGGGCGCCTGATCTTCTTCTTCGCACTCGTGCCAACTCTGGAAGAAGCCCCACGTTTCGCATGCCTCCCTTGGGCTTGGGCTGCAGCCAGAACATGATGCACAGAGCCGCGCTCGATACCGCTCAAGATGCCTGCCAGGCTGGCCAGGCCCGCCGCGGGCCCCGGGGCCCACAGCCTGGGGCGGATGTTGGACTCGCCCAGGCCCGTCTTCGGTGAGAAAGCCTTGCAGGCGTGAAGCACGTGGTGGCCGAGGCTGGGGGGCAGCGTGGGCTTGTGCTCAGCTGGAACCTTGAACCCGGGCGCCTCCCAATCGACCTCGTGCTGCCAGATGCTCCCCCACTCCTGCAGCGCTGTGTCGGCGGCGGTCTGCGGGTCCATCAGGGCGACGTGTTTGGCCAGCGCGCCCGTAAGGACCTGACTCACCTCTCGCCGTGGAAGAACCCAGGCGATCGCAGACCTGGATCAAGGGGGCGTGGATTAGCGACGGGTCCCGTTTCCAGTGGACATCGCGGACTCCCGCCGCCGAACGGGGCTTCACCGGCCTCATTTTGGGGAGGGCACCTCCCGATTTGACGACCGCGGCCGCCGGATCCACTGATCGCTAACCCATGTCCTGGCATCGCTCGGACGTGTGCATTTTTTCTCGGCGAGAACCATTGAGGACGATCCTGGACCATCGAGCGAGCAAAAAAAACGCGCACGAAACCGACAAATGCATGGGAAATGGACGTCCGAGCGATGGCGAGATGCTCGCGCGCCCCCGACGGTCGCCCCCCTCTCCACGGGCGGCTCCTTCGGGGGCATCCTGGGCTCCCGCGGGGCCTTCGGCCCGGCCCACCTCTGCAGGGCGCCCGCGGCCTCCTCGCCGTGGCCGCGCCCGCCGGCCCGCCGCAAGGCACGGCGGGCGCGCTCTCTCGGCTCGCTCGGCCTCTCCTCGTCCGCCTCGCCGGCCGCCGCCTGCTGCCAGTGCCGGAGGCGCTCCAGGCGCTCGGGCAGGCGGTGCGGCTCCCTGATGCAGTCCAGGATGGTGAGGATGGTGAGGGAGGGAGGGAGGGAGGGAGGGAGGGGAGGGAGGGAGGGAGGGAGGGAGGGGGGGAGGGAGTGAGGGAGGGTGGGAGGGATGGGGGGGAGGGAGGGAGGGAGGGAGGGTCTCAAAGACCCGTGCCCACGGCGTCTTCAGCTCCTCCGCATGCTGGCGCAGCGAGACGGAGGCCCACTCCTGGATCATCGCGTCCTCGATGGCCCTGCTGCGGGTCAGGTCCTGGCCGCTGGCCTGGCACGAGTCCTTGCTGACCATGTGGATCAGGTCTTGCGGCAGACTCGCCACCAACTCTGCTGCCATGGCTCGCACCGCCGGGGCTCCCTTGTCCCTGACCGCTGGGGGGGCAAGCTCTCGCAGCTGGTCGACGGCCCTCCTTCCACGACGGCCCTCATCACCGTCCAAACAAAAGTATCGGTTCCAGTGCTTCTCGTATGCGTTCGTGAGCTCGAGCCAGAGCACATCGAGAGTCTCGTGATCGACGAGCTCCCGACGAAGAGGACGCGGCCACTGGACAGGCTGTGTCGGGCAGCCCGATTGCACCGTCGAAGGCCAGGGCGCCCGCCGGGTCGGCTGGAGGGCCTTCGGCACGGGCGTGCGGCGGCCCAACTGCAGCATGATTGGCGTGTGGGGCTTCGCCGCGCACGCCGTCGTGACGGAAGCCTGGGGCCCGTTCTCCAGCAGGCTCTCGGCGACGATTTCTGCAGTGCCTGACGGAGTGGTTGCCCGCGCTTCTTCCCCTGCACGCGCCTTCGCTCCTGTCGTAGACCTGTGGAGGACGATCAATGGAGAGGAAGCATGCTGCCAAATACTTTCCAGATGTCTAAAACATGTGTTAAACATGTTTCAAACATGTAAACAAGCATGATTAAAACATGTTTGGAACATTTTTTCGACATGTTAAACACATTTTAAATTCAATGATCGGACAGTTAGGGTGTCCTTTGCCGTGGCATCCACAAGTCTATCCCCGTGGCGATCAGCTCCTCGGGGGACACGTTGAAATCGCCGCCCGGCACCCACGGCCGGCCTGACGCGGCCATGAGCGCCCCGAAGCGGCCCAGGACGGCGAGGTTGCGGCTCGACGGCCCCCCCGACACCCGCAGGTGCACGGAGCCCTCCGTAATGCTCGGGCCGGACGAAAGAGGGGGATTGGGAACGGGGGGTACGAAATCTGCTGCATGCAGCTGGTTTCGGCCCCACCGAGGGGCCCATTCCTTGATACATGGCCGCCTCCCGGCGCCAGGAGGCGCCGGGAGAATCAGCTACGTGAGCTGATTCTCAAACCCCTCCCTTTGCTATCCCCCCGTTTCGCCTGGCCCGAAATGCCGTGGCAGCGACACGTCATGACGTCGCCCTCGCAGAGTCTCCCTGGCGACTCCTCGGGGGCGCGTCCCACTGCAGCAGCTCGGGCAGGTACGTAATCCCCATGCGGCTCGGCACCGCGACCATTGCACCTGCCCTTGTTCCTTCTTCAGTCGGTGCGCTCGGCACCACCGCAGTCTTCCAGTCATGCTTGATCAACCTGGCCGACAGCAGCTCAACTTGCTTGGGCGTCAGCTGGAGCTCCTGGCCGAGGACGATGGGCGCCTCGACCTGGTCGCAACGCCTGCGCGACCTGGTTGGCGGTGTTCGCATTGCTCGTGATGAACACCTGCTTGCTTGCCCTCGTGCTCACGCTGGGCCCCCCTCATCGCTAGGAAGCCGACAGGCTGGACTTCCGCATGGCAACATGGAAGCCGTGGCCCATAGCAGCAAGAACTTATGCAGCACAGGCCCTTGCCACTGGACATCGGCCTCATTGACGCCCGCCTGCTTGAGCGCGGCTGCGACGTCCTGGGGGGATGCTTTGGCCTTGAGCTCGCGGATGTCCTCGCCCTGCTCCGTTGGGGCCGCGCCAGCGCGCCGCTTGCCACGCGCACCGTCACCGTTGGACTTGTCGAGCTCCTCCTCATCCTCCATCGGCACTGCGGTAGTCTCCGCAGCATGCGCCTTCTTATTCGCAGCGAGCGCGAGGGCTGCCTCATGCTGCTGCGTGACCTCTGCATCTGCCTCCTCGCCGTCGGTCGCCAGGGACGTCCTGGCGAGCTCGTGGTGGGCGCAGACGGAGTCCAACCCTTGGACGCGGGCGGCCTGGCCAGCGGCTTCTCCTTGGTACGCAGAGATTCGACGTTCTTGCCCGCTTGCTCGGCCTTGTTTTCGGCGGTGCGCAGCTGGCTCTGGATGTCCTCGATCTGCTGCTTGAGCTTGACCACGTGGCCGTCCGCCTTGGTCTGTGCTTTCTCTGCTCCACGGAGGCGCCGGCGCACGGCCAACTCCGCGTAGCATGCCGGCAGCGTGGCTTCCTTCGGTGCCAATGGCCCGTCGATTTGTGCCTGCAGCTTCGTCGTGGCCTCCGACGCGAACTCCGTGCCGGGCTCCTGCGCGAGCTGTTCGAGGTCTCTGAGGCGGGCGCTGCAGACCTCCAGCTTCCTCGCGATGCCCGACGTGGCCTCGTGCGAGGTGTCGCCGCCGAGGTCCCGGTGCGTGCCTCTCGACCCGTCGCCCTGCCCGTCCTCAGGCGGCGGCCGATGCCTCTTACACCGGTAGCATACTTTCGCCTTCCCCCAACATAGGGGGCCACATGCGAACCCTACCCCTACCCCCCACGATTTCTGAGGGGGAGGGTGGGGTTCACTTCGTTCGGGAGCTCTTGAGCGAAGTGAGCCCCACCCTCCCCCTCTGAAATCGTGGGGGGTAGGGGCAGGGCTCGAGCTGAACGGTGTTTTGGCAGTTTCGTGGACCGCTCTCGCTTCGACTCCGTTCTGCAGCAAGCGTGGCAGGAAGACAGGACTGGGAATGACGAAAACAGAACGAACACGGAAAACACTGTCATCAGTCATCAGTGTGACCGGCTAGGCAGGTGCACACATCGCCTTCCCCCAACAGTCATCAGTGTGACCG